ACTGAAATGAGAGAAAGACTGAGTGTGAGACTTTGATATTAGATAAAATGAATATTGATAAAGTTTACCTTTATGTACAGAATCGGAATATTGCAAAATATTTTTAAAAATTGCAATAATATCTTATCGTGCGTTAAGTATTGTGATAATATCGTATTGAGGGATGTATGGTGATTCCCACCTCTAGGTCTCACTACCTTCTTGTAAACCTTCTGTTTCTCTCTCACTGCTATATTTCTGTCACAAATCACCACATCACATGTCTCCTCCCACTCCACCCTACCTGCAAACTGTTCTTTACCTCTATTGTGCTCTATTCATTGCTTCCGATGGTTTTTAAACTTTACTACCTCTGCCTCTTGCAGTATCTCTCTCTCTAATTCACACCCATGTATTCTGTCTCGCTTCTACTGACTTCCATCCATCTTTTCTCCAGTACATATCTCCACCTCTTTAGGTTCTCTTCCACCTGATCCCTACTCTTAGCAAAGAGCTAACGCCTGCAGTAAGATTAATTTAGTAAAAAGAAAAACCATGATGGCAAATGTAAAAACAAATGAAAACAACCCACACCAGCACATCTAGCACTCCATAGTCATTTGTTACTTATTTTTTGTTCTTTACATTAAAAAGAAAACAATTTGTGGGTTCGTGAGAGGTAATATGCTGGAACTGTTTCTCGTTCAGCTGCAGTAAGTTTGTTGATTTGCTATTTGTTGAACTTCACACTAACCCAAGTGAGGTTTATGTTACTTCCCGAATAAAGGGCTATAACAAAACAAATGATAATAGAGGGGTAAAATACTTTTTTTTTTAAATGTGTCTGTTCACAATGGCATTCGTGATCTTGGAGGAATAGCACTATAACTTAGCCAAGCTTCATGCCGGGTCAGTTACATACCTTCTCATCACTCATCATTTTTACCGAACCTTACAGTTTAATCTATCCGAAAGAGGTTTAAGCACAGATACTTTCAAGCAGCTTTGTCTCTAAATCTATTGTATGTTTACAACTAAATCTTCAATCTGCTGCACAAAGGCAGAGGTGAAAGGAGGACAAGTAAACGGAGGAACAGGGAGCAGATTACATGCGAAGCTGAACCACACACAGGCCCCAGTTGTCCCGCTCACACGCTCTTCTTTTGACGACACAACTGTGCGCTTTTCCGTTTCATGTGTTGTGTATTGTGTCGTACAGAATGGACCACGTAAAGCACCGAGTCGCTGCACTAAATGCTAAGTGGATAATAATGTGCCGATATTTCAGCGCTGTAAATGAGCCATTGTGTTACTGTTTAGGGAGCGATGGGAGCTGTGAGGTAAATACACAAATTAATGTTATATGAAATTAGCGATTAAAACTCACTGTGTCGTGACTTTAAACACACAGTTGTTTATGCCCTTAATAGAGACCAAGGAGTACGCATTCACCCCAGCATAAAAACATGAACCCGAGTGACTCTGTAGTCTTGTACGTCATTGTGTATGTATCATAGTGGAACACGGAAAGCACCTGTGCCTACTGTGAAACAGCTGTGTGTGTGGTTGATTCCCTTTGTTTTCATGTACTTGCATGTTCTTTATAAAGCTCATTCTTAAATTTCAAACACAGTTATGCAACAGTTATCAAATATTGTCTCATCCCAAACATGAATTTGCATATTTTAATCCACTTACATGTTAATCCACTGACTGTTGATTTGGTTTAGTAATTTAGTGTGAGTTGAACATTATACAGATGAATGATGATGTGCGGCTAATGGCTACTCCTTCTCTCTCTTTCACTGTCATTTCCACTCTAATACAACACATCTCCTTCTCTTCTTCTCTCTCTTTCTGCATTCATCTTTGTCTTTATACTTCCAGCTGATATCATCTCCACTGTTGAGTTTAACCACACTGGAGAGCTCCTGGCCACGGGAGACAAAGGGGGCCGTGTGGTCATCTTTCAGAGGGAACCTGAGGTACTTACACATGCGCACCACACCAACACTGGCACACTTGCACTCATGCAGCACGTTCAGATATAACATTTTTCATTTGAGCTGTAAGGGCAGCAATGAATGCACTTGGTTCCCCTCCAGCTACACTCTATATTGGTTGATAAATACTTGATGTCTCTGCTGTGTCAGAGAGTGTGTCATTATAGCTGTGCGGAGTCCATGCCAAGCAGTTTCTGATTAACATCGAGGTGATGGAACATGCACATTTTTCACTTTCACCTACCTTTTTTTTCTCTTTCATTTCCTTTTCTTTTCATAGAGCAAGACTGAGCCCTTCTCCCAGGGAGAGTACAATGTCTACAGCACCTTTCAGAGCCATGAGCCCGAATTCGACTATCTTAAGAGTCTGGAGATTGAGGAGAAGATCAATAAGATTCGGTGGCTGCCTCAGCAGAACGCTGCACAGTTCCTGCTTTCCACCAATGGTGAGAGCCTCCTGCATACACACCCTGGAGAAAACTGGAAGCTGATGTGATGTGATTGATATTTTCTACATTTGCTGTGAACCACTTTAAATGATTGCTTTTTCTGAAGGCATTATCTAAGAGCATGTTTCTGAGATACTGTTGCTTTTCCACCTGAGCACTGCCAGACCGTATCTTATTAAAATAGTACTTGTCTTCTTAAAAAAATGAGTGTGACCCACTTTAAAGCTCCAAACAGCTTTAATGGCAAGGCCTCCTAAAACTACTATGTTGCGTGTCACTTCTTTTTAATTTGCCACTGGAGGTGTTCACGGCTCTCCTGTATTGTTGTAAAGATGCTATGCTCTCTCAAGTTCAAAATTTTGACCACTTGAAGATAAATTTGAATTTGCCCCAATGTTCCTTACCCAATGAGGTTTTTGGGATTGTGGCGCTGTTACTGATTGAACTGAAAAAAAAAGCCTTTGGCTTAAGGAGTTAACATGTTTGTGTGGGTGAGGAACGTCTCGTAATTAAGATCTTAAGTCAAAAGCAGATTTTCCCTTGCCTAATCGCAGACGAGTTTCTGTTTGTGTTGCAACTCTTCTCTGTAGTACATTAGGATGTGAGGTTACACTCTCATTTTATGGCTGGAATACTTATTTTAGTTTATATTTA